CCAATCAATGAAAATCATCAATTTACCCCCCCCCCCCCGGACTTTCGACACAAGTAGATGAGATTATGTTTCACTATCCTGTGTGTTCTGTTTTGAACTTGCAAGAGTACATATTTATAATAGCTGCTCATCTGGGTTAGATCATGAATACGATTACAATGTTTATTTGGCCGTGCCAGGTATCTCACACTAGTTCCATGGTAACATCGTCATATATTTGTCATGTCATCTTATTGAACTATATTTTTGTCTACTCTCTTATGTACCACAATTTATGGTTATCACACAAAATTCCATCTTATTTTTATTTTGTTTTGTGTTTTTTTTCGGGGGGTGGGTTGTTGTTGTTTTTTGTCTTTTTTTTTGGGGGGGGGGGGCATTCAAATTAATAGCAAAACAATGTTCGAGAAATATGTAGTATGTAGATATACCAGATAGATATTTTATAGGCCTAATGAATGCTCTCATTTTTCTTGAGGTACTTTGGTGCCATATAGGATACGCTCCGTAGTAGTTTATATTTGTTGCCAAATTCTTTTTTCTCTGTTTTCTGTTTTTGTTTTGTTTTGTTTTCCCAGCTTTGCTTATCTGTGAAGGCCCAGCTGACAACTGACAAGTCTGACTCGTGACTGTAAATCCACAAGCCTGATATATATTTCAGGTCAACTACAGTGGCACGTACGTCTAGGTATAAGCGAAGGTGTCATATGGGGTTGGATCACTCGACCACAAGATGAGGAACACCTCATTCATTGGTGATGGAGATTCAAAATCATTCCCACTGTATTGGCCCTCAACCTCTATGATTCCATACTCATAAAGGAGGTGGCGTGTGTCAACCATGTGGCAAAACGGTGAGTCAAAATTGATTTTGATTCTTTCGTGTCATGAGAAATCAGAGTGACTTATTTCAGATACCCGATATCTCTCTCAGAAGAACGCCCCACGTAGAATGAAGTCGCATAAACTACCACCATATGAATGTTTTCAATATGACACATTTAGAGAGTGACTATTTCATTGAAAACAATTAATGTCTTATTCAGTTTGAGGGAAGAGAAGTAAAAAGAGAAGTGCCAGACATGGACTCTAACAAAAGCCCTAGAGAGGAAACTGGTCACATGCGAGATGAAATGCTTAAGAAGAGCGGTCAACAAAACAAGAAGAGACAAAATTAAAAATGAAGTCATTAGGGACACCGTGGGAGCAACACCAGTCCTACCACACATTGAAAAACAAAGGGTCAAGTGGTTCGGACACCTCACGCGGATGCCCTAAAACCATCCAGCTCTGAGAGCATACAACATTAAATATTCTGGATGGAGAGCCAGAGGAAGACCAAGGCGACGATGGAGTGAATCTGTGGCAGACACCCTTAAAGATCATGGGATGTCCCTCCTACAGGCCACACGACTTGCTGCAGACAGACACCTGTGTCTCCCCGCGACACCCCAGGGTACAAGCGGAAGAAAAAAGTAAAAGTAAGTAAAGTAAGAAGTAAAAAACAATCAACCTTTTACTGATACTGATCTGATTCAGATCACATTCGGATTACGGAGTAGCATTAGTGTGAGAGATAATATCCCCTTCCCCTTTCCGTTTAGCCTATTTATGCTTATCAGCCAAGCTTCAATCATTTTATTGTTAGCAGTTGACACAGGTAAACAACAGTACCGTTGCTGAAAATGTAATAATAGTTTGATAAATTGCTTGTTTAGCTTTGCGTGTTCATTACTGTTGAACTTTGTAAGCCTGTCACTGGTGATTTTGTTGGCTTGAAAAAAAAATACTTCCAAGAATGATAGAGTAGTTCTATAAATGTGTCACAACGCGGTGGAATCAGGCTCTCGTCAATTTTTGGACATGTGGAGTTATTGGTATCACCTGAAAGCTGATTCATTTACCTGGCTGCCAATGAAATAAATATCCATCTTGAATAGAGCTCAAGATATTTGCAATTGAAGGAAGTAAGGTCGCTTGATTTCAGTGGTAAAATTAGCGAGAAAATGGCCAACAAAGTTTGGTAAATCCAGAGCTTCTCTTTGTTCTTGGTGATCTAAATTAAAACTGGCCAGTGAAGCTCGAACTGACCCCTGCGTAATGAAGGGGTTAATGACCATCGTCTTGTAGGCTCGTGGTTCATGCATTCACTCACTCTCAGACTCAGAGAAGTGTGTCAATGGAGAAAGGGAGTTTACATCACTAGGTATTACGCCGTAGGAGTATGCAGCCCTTGGTGTATGCATTTGCTGAGTCGTAGGTGTGTAGTGTGTTGTTATAGACTGTGTAGACTGTGTAGTGTGTAACTGTAGACTGTGTAGTGTGTTATTATAGACTGGTTACTCTGGTGGCCTTGAGTGAAGGGCTTGTGGGGAACATTAACATTAGTACATTTCAGGTAGGGGCAAATGTACGTTTATAGGCATTCCTTTTTGTGCATTGACAAACCTGATGGAAAGCTGGGCTAGTGAAACGGGATGGCAATTTCACAGGTCTGACTGTATATTTTTATGTTCTGCTTTCTTGCCTTAATTTTTTTTTTTAGGGGGGGGGGGGTATTATACATGAAATTGGACCATCAGCTGAATTGTTATGCTTGGGGTCTGCATAAATAACCCCCTGCTGAATAGAGTGTTTAAATGTGTTTTTAGTCTGCAATTACAATGTAATTTGCTTGCCACTGAATGCGACACAAGCTTCCGTCTGCAGAGGATAATAACAACACCTAAATCCTCATTTTTATGAGATTTTTTCCTGATGTTTTTTTCTTTTCTCTCATTTTCTACCAGGAGAAGATTGGATGTCTCCTGTCCTATTACTCAAAACCTGTGAGGTCGTTCAACTCTTTCCACCGCTAATGTGAGACGCAGTTGTGGCCACGTTGCTGCACAGCACCAGCACAGATGGAGACCCACATCATGACAGATGCCCACCTACTGGTGAAAACAACTGGTGCTTTTACGATATTATAATGCGGATAGGTTGCACACAGAAGACTCGAAATCATGCCTCGTCGAACTGTGCCTGCAGCCCAAGGTTTTTTTTCTTCTTTTTCTTTATAATAAGATATCCCTTGAACTACCGAGGCCGGTCCTAACATCATCGAGCTATTCGTGTTATACTGTGGACCAACTTTTACAAAAGGCATTACATCAGTGAAGGAAACATAGCACCATCACACAAGGGAAGGCCTTCTGTCCCCCTCAAACCCCTTGTTGCCTCACTTGTGAAGCACAGATGAGCTAGTGGAGATCAAGTATGTGCCTGGCGTGACACAAAAACAGAATGAGAGTTTCCGTGTTCACATCTAGTAGAAGTGGCCTGACCTAAGAGAAGACGATCTTTGTGACCAAACCAAGAGTAGCAGCAGCTTGAGCTATCTCTACTGCAGACTGGGGTTTGGAGGCCTTTGGCAGCCTGACGTTTGTGCCATTTCTGAAGCTGCAGGTCTCAGCCCAAACCATGGACAGTGGCACCAGAAGGGACTGTACCCAAATAGAGAAGACAGAGACTGCCATAGAGGGTGTGGCTTAGAAAAGCAGGAAAGGAACCATTTATTAGAGGATGAAAAACGGACAGACAGACCTCTCTTCTTCCAAGGCAAAGTTACTGATTGGAATAAAGAAGTCCTTCTGCAATTTATGGCTGTGTTTTCCTCTTTTGGCAACTTGGAGTCGCGTGTTTTTGACAAACTTCCTTTAGTTTCTTCTTTACAGTTGATGCTACCCCTAAATTATTGACCTCTCTGTTGCATCCCTACTTGCAGTAATTTGGGGGACTTTTTTAAAAAAAGAATTAGATATAATATAAAAGAACTGGTGTCTGGGTAAATTGACAAATGGTTAGTTGTCTTTATACAACTCAATTCATGCTCCTACCTGTTCTGCTGAGAAAGTAATGACAAAATCAGTACGTTTTTTCAAGTTTTCTCAAAACGACAAAAATTATGGGGTATGAGTTGCGGCCCGAACTCTCATTTAAAGCTCAAGGGAAGGATTTTAAAAATATTTAGCCTGGGTATCCTGGGTATGTAAAACTGGATTTTCTGTTATCCAAGTGGGGCTATTTTTTTATATCTCCCCCCAATTTTGAAAAAAATGCAGTTTCGAGTGTTTCAGTTGATGCTAAAATGCGAAAATTTTCAGAGTCATGCAATAGCTATTACGTTGTCCTCAGTATCTCTTTAGAGGTTTCAATTATCAAAAAAGCCCCACTAGGATTAAAGATTTCACTGTTAGTGTGCTTGTGGGAAAATGTGAGCACTTTAGTTAATAAACTGATTGGGCGAGAGCGCAGGCCGGATTGAATTAAAATTGCTTCTGTACACACAAAACATGGAAAATTTTCAAATTCCTTAACCCTATCCGTGCATCGTGTTTTACTATCGTATCCATACGACGTTGGGAACTCTGTGTCACCACTTTCCAAAGAGGAAATTTACTCGTTAATCCGAACCGTACGCTTGGCATAGCAGTCTGTCAACATGATTTTTTGAGAAATACTGAAAGTTTCAAAGAGATCTTCGTATTAGAAGTATTCTAAAATGTGAAGAATACAATCCATACAACTCCGGGGTACAAAATAACCCCAGGGTGTATGGAAAGGGTTAAAGAAAGACTATATTTTACTAGCTGACTTTCATTTTGAACTCCTAGAGTGTTTTATGGTCCCACTGAATGGTCCAGGAGTGTGTTAAATAACAAAGTTAGAACTATCACCAGCTACATACCCTTAATTGTCTCTACGGGACATAACAACATCTACATCTTTTTTACAATTAAACAATCAAACAAAAGAAAAGTTGTCAATCAATTTATTTCGTTCCTGCAATTCTGTTAACTGTGACGTCCATGCTTTTCCCTTGTCTCTTGCTTTGGGTAGCTTCTATCAGAGCCGTGTGGGTGGTTGGCGGGTGCTCTGGTGTGGTTTGCTCCTTCTTTCCTCTATAGAAAATCTATCGTTTCTCTCTCCCCTCCTTCTTTTTTGTGTTTGTTACTCTCTTGTAACACCTCTAATCTTCGGCACTTATATGACCTTATTGTGTTGCAAGTGCCGTAAAACTCCTACTAAAACTAAACTAAACTATCAGAGCCGCGCACTTTTAATGATATCGATACAATTTGATTACCGATTACCGATGACCAATACCACCTAGCGCTTTAATTCCCCATTTGCATTTTACTGGACTTGGGAACCAACAACATAATGTTATGTAAATCTGAGATATGACTGCATTAGATTTGTAATTGTGTCGTTGTCTCAAAACTCACCACTTATCTGAGTAATAGCTAATTTTAATAATAATAATAATAAATTACACTTTTATTTGTCCCAGAAGAGCACTTTGTTTTACAATGGCAAACATACATACATAAATACATAATTATAAATACGTACATACATAAATACATACATGCATAAATACATACATAAATACACACTATTACACACATACAGAACAGTTTACAAACAATGCCACTGTCGGTCGCCACTGTGCAGCGCCCTGTAATTTGAGCTAGGGTTGTCGTGTCTTGCTCAAGAACACACTTCAGTGACCACCCATTTGATCCCCGTGTCACCGACACTTGCTTGACATTGCTTGAGTCAAAACTCACTACTCATTCAGCCACTGGAGCCCCCACTCTGGCACTCTCGCTATATAATCATGACTCATAAAAGAAAAACATGTCTTAGTCTTAGCCCGTTCAATGCAAGACGTGAAAAATGTGGGTTTTTTGCAAACCAGTTTCACTTTCATATGAGACGAGCACATCTCAATCTCATTGATCAATCGATTCACCTGAAAAATAGTTTATGTACACTTAGATTCCTGGAAATAACACAATGTGACTTTTGTCAAAGAGAATGTAACCGTTGGGTGGTATCGTCTCTCAGATTGTATCGATGTATGTGGTGAAAAAGGGAGCAGCTGTGTTAGTGCGCGGCATTGATTTTTT